TGGGTGCGCCGTATATTACACCGATGGCTCCCGGGATCCAGAGGCTGGCCGCACAGGTGCCGGGGTGCACCATGCCACCCTGACGGCTGGATGGCGTCTCCAGGATCACTGCACAATTCTCCAGGCAGAACTCCATGCCATCCAGAGGGCCCTGCAACACGCGCTCCTGGATCATCGGCGACCCCCAGTCATTCACGTAGACTCCAGAGCGGCGATCCAGGCCGTCATGCACAGGGAGCCCAGGGACAACATTCGGCTAATTACTGCCATCAGGAAGGACCTGCTGACACTTAAGGAGCAGGGACAGCAAGCAACAATCAACTGGATACCGAGCCACATCGACCTCGCTGGGAATGATGCGGCAGATCGAGCGGCGAAGTCAGCAACCCTTGAGGCCCAGCCAGTGACCACCATCGCTATCAGCCGCAGGCAGGTGGATCTGTGGGCAGCTGATGCAGCCAGGCGCCCGCTACCAGGGCCAGGCACATCGCGGAGCCGGATCTGGTATGACAGGGCGACCCGTGGGGAGCCCCCGCCGAGCATGCGGAGGCTAGACAGGAAGTTGCAGGTTGGGGTCCACCGGCTGCGACTTGGCTACCTTACTGCCAGAAGACTCATTGACCGCGTGCGAGAGGAGAGCTGCTGCCATTGCAACCAGATGGTCCCGGGTCCACTAGTGCACTACCTCGACTGTCCAGCGACGGTGCCACTCCGACAAAGGCACTTCCCAATGGCGCCTGGGGACCCGAACCGAGAAGACACCGCAGCCCGGCTGGTGTACCTCGCCACCCAAGACCTGGGAACTCTCATCCCCATCCTGGCTGCCCACCCACCACCTCGATGACGCCGCCACATACAACGAGTCGCCACTACTCTCCATCTATCACCTCTCCTACTCTTCCTTCTTTCACTCCCCTACCTCCTCTCCAAGCTTAAAAAAAAAAAAAAAAAAAATCCAATGGAGCCTGTACCGCTTTCTAGGTAAAAGTCTGAATCACCTAGAACCAATGCCACACTACCAACATTTGACGGGGCAACAAGTGCCTGAAGACCCTTGACCTTGCGATGCCTGCAGAGGAAGCCCAAGACACTCCCCTCCGGGGAGTCGCCGCAAGAAAGATGATGTTACCCTCCAGCCGGAGGGCCCAAGAAAGAAGACAGAAGAAAGATGATGACACCCCCAACCGGGGGCCACAGCCGGGTCACCATATGGAGAAGACCCGGGCCGGAAGTACAGGCAAACCTCTAATGAATGAATGAATTTATCATAGATCAGTATTCTTGGCAACTTAGGATAAAAAAATAAAATTTCTACCACAAATAAAATATGATCCTTGCCAGTTAAAATAATTAACATTTGATATTATCAGTCAAAAACCTCTCTTGAAAATTCCCACAGTCTTTTCAGGCAGCCCAGTATTTGTAACAACAATGATGTAGATTATAACTTTGGTTTCAGAACTTACAAAGTGCATTCAATGATTTCACAATAATTCTTTTATGACAAACTGGTATGCCTCTGTCTTTACATTATACTGCATTCCTGACTTTTCACAAGTAACCTTGTACAAAACACTACAAAATATTTTTGTATTCCACACAATCTTGCACTGCAGCTTAGCAATTACAAAAATTTAATAAGCGTGTTGAACATTCCAGCCCATAAAACTGAACTCCATGAAAAATATATCAGCGTTAGATGTACGTCTTTCTACAATTAGGCAACTCTTCCGCTCATTGACACAATATCGAGCCTTCACCCTTCCACATTAAATATTTTAAACAAATGAACAATAATTTGAATTACCATTAAAGTTACAAGATGTCATTTGAACGAAGCTAAACGTACTAAAAATAAGAGATCGCGAGTCAATTGCTCAATCATTGATATAAAAAAAATACCTAGTTTCGGCAGCTCTGCACCATGTACATGAATTACTTCTAAAAATTCGTATTTGAGTTAAAAAAACTTACTGGAGTTACCTCTGTCAATTGCGTTGAAATGTTGGACACAATTTACCTGTCAATTGATTACTGAGAAAAATCTGTATAAAACAATCTAATGGCAATAGAAAAAAAAAAACATGTGATTGTTGTTGTATCGAGTGATTACAGATTTTGTGATTGTGGTAGTGTGTTTCTGCAGTGTTGACTGGTGGTTTTTAGTCCAGGTTAATTACAGAGCAATGTAAATTTTTGAAAAAAGAATTACAACATTAAACTGCATTAATACCATGTACGTCAATAAAAAAAATTAAAAGCACATAAAACATTAGGTATAAAACAGAAGATATAAAACATTAGAAAAATATAATACGATTAAAAACATGAAAATAAATATGTAAAACATTAGGATTATATGTAAGACATAAACATTAGAATCTATAAAACATTAAAATCTATAAACAGTATAAAACAATTGTAAGATAAAACAAAAAAACAATATAAATATGAAACATTAGGAAATATAAATATGAAACATTAGGAAATATAAATATGAAACATTAGGAAATATAAAACATTAGAAAATATAAATGTAAAACAAAACATTATAAATATAAAACATAAAATACATGAAACAGAAAACATTTATATAAAACAAAATATAAAACATTAGAATGTATAAACTTGGTATAAAAACATTAGAAATGAAACATTAAAATATAAAACATTAGATATAAAACATATAAAACATTAAAATATAAAACATTAGATATAAAATATTAGAAGATATAAAAGAGAAGATATAAAACATTAGAAGATATAAAACATTAGATATAAAACATTAGAAGATATAAAACATTAGAAGATATAAAACATTAGATATAAAACATTAGAAGATATAAAACATTAGAAGATATAAAACATTAGAAGATATAAAACATTAGATATAAAACATTAGAAGATATAAAACATTAGATATAAAACAGATATAAAACATTAGAAGATATAAAACATTAGAAGATATAAAACATTAGAAGGTATAAAACATTAGATATAAAACATTAGAATATATAAAACATTAGAAGATATAAAACATTAGAAGGTATAAAACATTAGAATATAAAAACATTAGAAGGTATAAAACATTAGAAGATATAAAACATTAGAAGGTATAAAACATTAGAAGATATAAAACATTAAAAGATATAAAACATTAGAAGATATAAAACATTAGATATAAAACATTAGATATAAAACTTAGAAAGATAAAAACATTAGAAGGATATAAAACATTAAAGATATAAAACATTAGAAGATATAAAACATTAGATATAAAACATTAGATATAAAACATTAGAAGGTATAAAACATTAAAAGATATAAAACATTAGAAGATATAAAACATTAGATATAAAACATTAGATATAAAACATTAGAAGGTATAAAACATTAGAAGGTATAAAACATTAAAAGATATAAAACATTAGAAGATATAAAACATTAGATATAAAACATTAGATATAAAACATTAGAAGGTATAAAACATTAAATATAAAACATTAGAAGATATAAAACATTAGATTAAAAATAGAATAAAACATTAGATATAAAACATTAGAAGGTATAAAACATTAAAAGATATAAAACATTAGAAGATATAAAAAACATTAGTAAAATGAGTATAAACATTAGAAGGTATAAAACATTAGAAGATATAAAAACATTAGAAATATAATAACATTAAAAGATATAAAACATTAGAAGTAAATAAAACATTAAAATATAAAACATTAGAAGGTATAAAACATTAGAAGATATAAAACATTAGAAGATATAAAACATTAGAAGGTATAAAACATTAGATATAAAACATTAGAAGATATAAAACATTAGAAGGTATAAAACATTAGAAGATATAAAACATTAGAAGATATAAAACATTAGAAGATATAAAACATTAGAAGATATAAAACATTAGAAGATATAAAACATTAGAAGATATAAAACATTAGAAGGTATAAAACATTAGAAGGTATAAAACATTAGAAGGTATAAAACATTAAAAGATATAAAACATTAGAAGATATAAAACATTAGATATAAAACATTAGATATAAAACATTAGATATAAAACATTAGAAGGTATAAAACATTAGAAGATATAAAACATTAGAAGATATAAAACATTAGAAGGTATAAAACATTAGAAGGTATAAAACATTAGAAGATATAAAACATTAGAAGTATAAACATTAGAAAAAACATTAGAAGATATAAAACATTAGAAGGTATAAAACATTAGAAGGTATAAAACATTAGAAGGTATAAAACATTAGAAGATATAAAACATTAGAAGATATAAAACATTAGAAGGTATAAAACATTAGAAGGTATAAAACATTAGAAGGTATAAAACATTAGAAGATATAAAACATTAGATATAAAACATTAGAAGATATAAAACATTAGAAGGTATAAAACATTAGAAGGTATAAAACATTAGATATAAAACATTAGAAGATATAAAACATTAGAAGGTATAAAACATTAAATGGTATAAAACATTAGAAGGTATAAAACATTAGAAGATATAAAACATTAGAAGATATAAAACATTAAATGGTATAAAACATAAGGTATAAAACATTAGATATAAAACATAAGAAGGTATAAAACATTAAATGGTATAAAACATTAGATATAAAACATTAGAAGGTATAAAACATTAGAAGATATAAAACATTAGAAGGTATAAAACATTAGATATAAAACATAAGAAGGTATAAAACATTAGAAGGTATAAAACATTAGATATAAAACATTAGAAGGTATAAAACATTAGAAGGTATAAAACATTAGATATAAAACATTAGAAGGTATAAAACATTAGAAGGTATAAAACATTAGAAGGTATAAAACATTAGATATAAAACATTAAGATATAAAACATAAGAAGGTATAAAACATTAGAAGGTATAAAACATTAGATATAAAACATTAGAAGGTATAAAACATTAGAAGGTATAAAACATTAGAAGGTATAAAACATTAGATATAAAACATTAGAAGATATAAAACATTAGAAGGTATAAAACATTAGAAGGTATAAAACATTAGAAGGTATAAAACATTAGAAGGTATAAAACATTAGAAGATATAAAACACTTGGCAGTATAAAATGGTTTAAAACAATATGGTTGGCAGTTTAAATAATTGAAAGAGGCAGTTTCATACATTAAGCAGGACAGTACTACCTAGGGTGACAGTAGCCTCAGGCTGATAGTGCCCCAGTGCTACCCAGGCTGATAGTGCCCCAGTGCTACCCAGGCTGATAGTGCCCCAATGCTACCCAGGCTGATAGTGCCCCAGTGATACCCAGGCTGATAGTGCCCCAGTGCTACCCAGGCTGATAGTGCCCAAGTGCTACCCAGGCTGATAATAGCCCAAGTGCTACCCAGGCTGATAATAGCCCAAGCACTACCCAGGCTGATAGTGCTCCAGTGCTACCCAGGCTGATAGCCCAAGTGCTACCCAGGTGTGAGCAGCACCCAGGTGTAGCACCCAGGTATGTGCAGCACCCAGGTGTAGCACCCGGGTATGTGCAGCACCCAGGGGTAGCATCCTGGTATGAGCAGCACGCAGGTATGAGCAACACCCACACACAAACATGTTCCCAAAATATAAATCTTATAAACACCAGTTTTATATAAAACAAATGTAACAGAAGGTAAAGTACACAGCAAGGAATACATGAAGAAATATTAACTTACTTCATGTTAGTTGTCTTGGTTTAACTAACTACTTGCCCAATAGAAGTGTTATGAGGTTACTGCTGAAATCATCCACGGGTTGAGAAGTTCAAATGTCTTGCTGAGGTTGAGAAGTTCAAATATCTTACTGGGGTTGTGAAGTTCAAATATCTTGCTGGGGTTGAGAATTTCCAATATCTTACTGGGGTTGTGAAGTTCAAATATCTTGCTGGGGTTGTGAAGTTCAGATTTCTGGAATGATAAAATGCCCATTTCACTTGATTAATATGAAGCCTACCAAAAAGTAAATACTGGATATACATAAGTACCACAGGATTGTAGATGAATGGTTCAGAGAACCGACACAGTTGATAAATTAGACACATGTGCAACTCTTGGGTTTACCTGGAGTTTACTTGGAGAGAGTTCCGGGGGTCAAGGCCCCTGTGGCCCAGTCTGTGACCAGGACTCCTGGTGGATCAGAGCCTGATCAACCAGGCTGTTCCTGCTGGCTGCACGCAATCCAACGTACAAGCCACAGCCCGGCTGGTCAGGTACTGCCTTTAGGGGTTATCTTTACTGAGGAAACGTTTCGCCACACAGTGGCTTCATCAGTCCATACAAAGGAGAAACGTGAAGAACAGGAGAAGAACGAGGTAATCAGTCCCTCAACCTCGAGTCGATATGGTCAGTCCATCAATCTTGAATAGAATGCGGCACATGTGGAAAAGTAGCTTATAAACCGTAGGCAGGAGAGGTGCAGCAGTCATAGGTGGTGTCACATTTGTACAATGTGGAAGTAGGTCGTGCCCAAGGGTTAGGTTGGGAAAAGGGGGGCAAAAGGTTGAAGTTCCTAAACCTGTACTCCCTGGAACACAGGCGAGAGAGATGATTATATACACCTAGAAAATCCTAGAGGGACTAGTACCGAACTTGCACACGAAAATCACTCACAACGAAAGCTAAAGACTCGGCAGACGATGCAACATCCCCCCAATGAAAAGCAGGGGTGTCACTAGCACGTTAAGAGAATACAATAAGTGTCAGGGGCCCGAGACTGTTCAACTGCCTCCCAGCATACATAAGAGGGATTACCAATAGACCCCTGGCTGTCTTCAAGCAGGCACTGGACAAGCACCTGAAGTCGGTACCTGACCAGCTGGGCTGTGGCTCATACCTGGAGTTTACCTGGAGAGAGTTTCGGGGGTCAACGCCCCCGCGGCCCGGTCTGTGACCAGGCATCCTGGTGGATCAGCGCCTGATCAACCAGGCTGTTGCTGCTGGCTGCACGCAAACCAACGTACGAGCCACAGCCCGGCTGATCAGGAACTGACTTTAGGTGCTTGTCCAGTGCCAGCTTGAAGACTGCCAGGGGTCTGTTGGTAATCCCCCTTATGTGTGCTGGGAGGCAGTTGAACAGTCTCGGGCCCCTGACACTTATTGTATGGTCTCTTAACGTGCTAGTGACACCCCTGCTTTTCATTGGGGGGATGGTGCATCGTCTGCCAAGTCTTTTGCTTTCGTAGCGAGTGATTTTCGTGTGCAAGTTCGGTACTAGTCCCTCTAGGATTTTCCAGGTGTATATAATCATGTATCTCCCCGCCTGCGTTCCAGGGAATACAGGTTCAGGAACCTCAAGCGCTCCCAGTAATTGAGGTGTTTTATCTCCGTTATGCGCGCCGTGAAGGTTCTCTGTACATTTTCTAGGTCAGCAATTTCACTTGCCTTGAAAGGTGCTGTTAGTGTGCAGCAATATTCCAGCCTAGATAGAACAAGTGACCTGAAGAGTGTCATCATGGGCTTGGCCTCCCTAGTTTTGAAGGTTCTCATTATCCATCCTGTCATTTTTCTAGCAGATGCGATTGATACAATGTTATGGTCCTTGAAGGTGAGATCCTCCGACATGATCACTCCCAGGTCTTTGACGTTGGAGTTTCGCTCTATTTTGTGGCCAGAATTTGTTTTGTACATTAACATCTCCATTCAAAGCAGGTGAAATCGCAGATCTAGAGTTGATGGACTGAACACATCGACTCCAGGCTGAGGGACTGATTACCTCAAACTCCTCCTCTCCTTACGGCTTTCTTTGTATTGGACTGATGAAGCCACTGTGTGGCGAAACGTTTCCTGAATAAAGACTCCCATATGTTGCATAAGTGTCTCAATTCTACAACTTGTCGGTTTTTCAAACCATTCATCACAGATCTAGAGTGTAGAGATCCTTTACTGCATGTATAAGCTCTGTCAAGCACCTTAACTACTGGGAACGCTTGGAAGCACTTGACTTGTACTCGTTGGAACGCAGGAGGGAGATATATATCATAATCTACACTTGGAAAGTCCTGGAAGGAATGGTCCCAAATCTGCACACAGAAAACACTCCCTACAAAAGTAAAAGACTGGGCAGGCGATGCAAAATGCCCCCAATTAAAAGTAGGGACGCCATTGGTACACTAAGGGAAAACACCATAAGTGTCCGGGTCCAAAGGCTGTTCAACAGCCTCCCATCAAGCATTAGGAGAATTGCCAATAAACCCCTGGCTGCCTTCAAGAGAGCTGGAGATACCTTAAGTCAGTGCCGGATCAGCCGGGCTGTGGCTCGTACGTTGGACTGTGTGCGGCCATCAGTAACAGCCTAGTTGATCAGGCCCTGAGCCATCGGGAGGCCTGGTCATGGACCGGGCCGCGGGGGCGTTGATCCCCGGAATAACCTCCAGGTAAGTGCTCAACCCGAAGGGGTCATAGCGCCTGGATGACTCCTTCAATATAAAAAAAAACCTTCAAAGCACATCCCCTTGACAAATACAAAATATGGGGAGTGGTAAATCTGGAGGGGGTCAGTGCCTGGGTAACCATTATAATAAAAAAGAAGCACTAAACCACAAGGGCCTGGATAACCAATGCCTTGGATAAAGAATCCGTCAACATCAAGGCACCCCTTTTGATACCGGTTGCCAAACAATGGGGGAAATAGCAAGCCTGGAGGAGTTATAATGCCTAAGTTACTCAAATACTTTAGTTCACCATCAACAAGGCACCATTCCATTAATGAGGTCTGAATACACCAGTAGTCAATTACAGCATACCGGTAGTTAGTCATGAATAGCATAGTTATTAAGAACAGTTATGAAAGCATAAACCGGTATTCAGTTATGAATAGCATACACCGGTATTATGAATAGCATACACCAGTAATGAATAGCATACACCAGTAATAAATAGCATACACCAGTAATAAATAGCATACACCAGTAATAAATAGCATACACCAGTAATAAATAGCATACACCAGTAATAAATAGCATACACCAGTAATAAATAGCATACACCAGTAATAGCATACACCGGTATTATGAATAGCATACACCAGTAATAAATAGCATACACCTGTATTATGAACAGCATACACCAGTATTCAGTTATTAATACACGTATTAACCACGTAGCAGTCAAGAGATGGCAAGTATTTCAGTCACCGAAAAAATCCCCTTAAAGAGGGTGGCCATTTGAAAGCGACGGGTTTTCTTCATTTGCAGGAAGACATTGACAGTTACCTCGGGTGATGCTGCAGTTGACATCAGGTTTAGGAGGGTCAGTAGTTCCTGTCAAGAAAATAATGGCGTCATTTATGGAAAAAACATACTTTGTTATATTTCCTAATATTTTGCAGATATACAGCATCAGATATAAACCCAGCGTACACGCGACATTTTAATAAACATTGTTAACCGGCAATAGCCAGTTATTTTTAGGAAATTTCGAAGAAATTGCTTACCAAAGGAGCGTGCACCCTCACGCCATTTTCTGCAGGACGCGACTGAAGGCAAGGAAGCGCGCGCGCTCCTGAGGAGCCTCCAGGATGACATCGGTGACGTCATTGTTCACGCTGATTTGCTAATCACCAGTGACGTAATTAATGCTAATTGGCTGCTGGATCGTGCTGTTCTATTTATCAACACCATCAATTAAACTCGGGTTTTAATTAGCTGGGTCTTCGCGCCAGAAAAGTTAACTGAATTTTGAATGGTAGCGGCACGTCAGTGCTAAGCGTTTTTCTTATTAAATGACAAAAATGTCTGCTCATACAAAGAAATTCTGTCACGTAAAAATAAAAACGAGAAACCAACCTCCATACGTCTCTACGAACAGTTATTTAGTAAATAAAGAAAATGTAATGCAAATATTTCAATTTGAGACGTTATATTTGCATTAAATTACAGTATTTACGACTGAAAAGCCATATATTCCCTTAAATAAGGGTCGACTTGAGGCTGGTGAAGGGCTCTTGATCCGAGGAAATGGAGCGGTCTTTCCCCTTCCTCACATCAAAACAAATCACCTCCCACCCCCCCCAGGATCTGTCTGATCCCTACTGGCTTAGCGCTTCCCTATGAAACATATTTTTGATTTTTTACCGTTGTGTTGGGGGGGGGGGCTCCTGCTATCCTAGTATATACATATTTTTTTCAAATCCTGATCATTTTCAGGCATCATCATATATACTTTATTAATATATTATTACCCTGGAGCATAAACTATATCAAAATTATCATTTATTATATATATATGTAGCCTAAATTATGAATTATAGAAACAATCTGCACTAAAATCAACATTTTTACATATATTCTTATGACTATATGTATCTTGATGTATATATACTGAGAGTAACAGTGTATATACACTTGGAGTGTATATATGTATCTCAGTGTGTATACATTTGAAGGTGTATATACCATATATATGCGACGAGGTGTGTATGCCATAGTACATATACACTTGTATATGCATTTGGAGGCGTTTATATCTGTGAATATACATTTGGAGGTGTATATATGTGTATATACATTTGGAGGTGTATATATCTCAGTGTGTATATATGTGGTGTGTATCCCACAGTATATATTCCTTTGTATATGCACTTGATTTTACATATATATTCCAGTATATATACATTTGGAAGTGCATATATCTTAGCATATACATTTGGAGGTGTGTATATCTCGGTATGTATATACATAACGAGGTGTGTATCCCACAGTATATACATACTGATGTATATCTCAGTAAATATACTGTGAGGTGTATATCCCATCTAGTTCCATGAGGGGCCCCCTAGTTCCATGAGGGGCCCCTAGTTTCAGGAGGGGCCCCCTAGTTTCAGGAGGGGCCCCTAGTTTCAGGAGGGGCCCCTAGTTCCAGGAGGGGCCCCCTAGTTCCAGGAGGGGCCCCCTAGTTTCAGAAGGGGCCCCTTAGTTTCAGGAGGGGCCCCCTAGTTTCAGGAGGGGCCCCTAGTTTCAGGAGGGGCCGCCTAGTTTCAGGAGGGGCCCCCTAGTTTCCAGATGGGGAAGTGGGGCCCTAGTTCGAAGATGGGGTCATAGTTTCAAGGTGGGGCCCTTAGTTTTAATTATTATTATTATTATAATCAAGGGGGAAGCGCTAAACCCGGAGGATTATACAGTGCCTGGGGGGGGGGGATGTGGAAGGCATTCAGGCTTAATTCGGGGAACTGGAGCACAGATCCAATTCCCTAAATCAAGAGCCCCTCACCAACATCAAGGAACCTTCCTTGAGGGGCCCTTAGTTTTAAGGAAGGAAAGGTGGGCGCCCCTAGATTCAAGGAAGGGAAGGTTGGGCTCTAGTTTCAAGGAAGGGAAGGTGGGGCCCCTAGCTGCAAGGATGGAAAGGTGGGGCCCCTAGTTTCAAGGAAGGGAAGGTGGGGCCCCTAGTTTCAAGGAAGGGAAGGTGGGGCCCTTAGTTTTAAGGAAGGCAAGGTAGGGGCCCCTAATTTCAAGGAAGGGGAGGTGGGGCCATAGTTTCAAGGCGGGGGGTATGGGCCCTAGTCCTGGTATCTCACAATTCCCTCACTCTAGCCTGGGGCTGTGATGGCTACGGGCCACAGGTAGCCACAACCTGCTTGATCAACAGCTTCCCTGAGAAGGCCTGAGCTTGCTACTATCTGCAACTCATAAGACTGCCATCCCCACGAGCCCCTTTGGGGCGGGGCAGATGGCAGACCAGAGGCCTAGCTTCTCCCTACGAGCCCTGTGAGGGCGGGGACTGTGGCTAGGCCTGGGGACACTTGGTCTCAAAGATGAGGGGGTACTTGTACCTCCTCCCATGGGAGACTTAGGTCTCGAGATACTCCCCAGATAGGGAGCCAAGGCCGGGTCACCACTACTTGGAAAAGACCCGGGCCGGGAGAATACCGGCGAATAAGAAAAAAAAACAGCTTCCCACCACAATCCTACATGCAAATTAAAGGAATACCATAGACATAACTGTGGTATCCTCCACTTCCTTGGATCAGACCTAATTCCCATTTCCAAGGCACTATATGATCCCTACGGGTTAGACATTCCCTATAAAATAATAATAATAATAATAATTATTATTATTACTAGTTAATAATAATGTTAACTGTTCAGTATATGGGGAAATAAAATAAATAAGATAAATACATTAGGATTTTAGGATACCAGGAAAAGCTCCCCCGATCAAAAAAATAAAAATCAGCCAAAAAATTATTTAGCGTTAATTTCATAGGGGTCATACAGGAAAAAATGGGAGGTAATCATGTTTGATCCGAGGAAGGTAAGAGTAGCTCAGATTCCTTGGATGGAGAGCCTTTCTTTAGGAGTAAGCATTTCATAGTTCTGGCCACAGTCAATGAGCGATCAATTTGTTCCTCTGGCGGGAATAAGCAGCTTTTGGTCTTTTTTTTTTTTTTTAATGGAACAGTTATCCTTTCCTTTTTGTAAAACATTCTTGATCTTTTCCTCATGTGTAGTACGTCTTCGTGAGTTCAGTGTATTTCTATAATATGGAAGCAGTACTGTGGGGAGATAAGCCTTCGGGAAGTGTTTTGAGAAGTTTTAAAATCAGGCAAAATTAGTCATCTATTTTAAACTTAAAGGTTAGTGAAGATTTGGGAGGATATTATAAGGGGCAAATGCTAGCCACAACTGAAGGAATGAGTAATTATGCTGATTATTGGTTTCAAAAGAAGTGGGCGAGGGGAAAAGTTGGGACAGTTTGTGAGGAAGGGGAAGGGGTGCAAGCCTTGGGGACGTGTGGGGAGGAGATAGTTGGAATGGATGGTGTAATTAGTATGGATGAAGTGAAAGAGGCAGTGCTCAATTTAAGTATGGGAAAAGCGCCAGGAATAGATGGAATTTCGAATGATTTTTATAGAGTTCAATGGGACCATATAAAGTATTGTCTGGTACAGGTAATGAATTGTATGCTGAGGGAAGGTAAGTTAGGAATGACACAGCGGACGGGTGTGGTCGTGTTAGTAAGGAAAAAGCAGGAGGGAAGAACACTGAGCGCGTACAGGGCCATATCTTTAATGAGTACAGACTATAAGATTTTTGCGAAGATACTAGGGAATAGGATGAAGAGGGTGATAGGAGGTATACTACATAAGGGACAGTTGGGGATTCCGGGACGTAGCATGAGTGATGGGCATAGCCGGATTAGGGAATTTTTGAAGGGTTGCAATGGGGGTGGAATTTTAGGTATTGATTGGGAGAATGCATATGACGGTGTGAATAGGGAGTTTCTGGGGGCCAGTTTGAGACGACTGGGTTTTGGTGAGGGAGTTGTAAAGTGGGTTGAGATACTGTATTCTGGATTGGTGATACAGGTGCAAATTAATGGTCGGTTGGGCAGAATTTTGGAAATGGAGAGGTGTCTGAGACAGGGGTGTCCTATGTCTCAAATTTTGTTCTCATGTATACAACACCCGTTTTATGAAATGGTTGAGGGAAAGGGGATTTTACATGGGGAGGGGGTGGGGTTTAATGTGGTGGTAGGATATGTGGACGATACAACTGTACTGATCACTGGTGTAGAAGGATTGAGAACGATAGGGAAGGCCTTGAAGGTTTTTAGGAGGGCGTCAGGAATGAGCGTCAACAGAGCTAAATCAAAATTATTAGAGATAGGTGCTTGGGTGGGGGGTGGAATGGGGTTGGAGTTTGGATGGGAAGTGGCGGAACGGTTGAAAATTTGTGGAGTTCTATATATGGCTGATGAGCAGGAGGCTCGTCAAGTGAACTCGGAGTTGGTAGGAGAGAAGGTAGTGAAAAGGATACGGAGCCTAAGAGCGGGGGATGTTACTTTATTGCAAAGGGCGATTATAATAAATTCATTGGTGTATAGTAAAGTGTGGAATGTTGCTGTGGTGTATCCTTTACGGGTGCAGGAGATACATGAGATACAGAGGAGGGCGCTCCGTTATGTGTGGAGTTTTGGGAGGGCATGGCTCAGTAAAGAGGTGGTCATGTCAAATGTACGAAGAGGAGGAGTAGGACTCTTGGCACTGGGGCCGAGAGTAAAGGCCATGTATGTAAAACAGAGGTTTGTGCGGGAGGGGGGGTGAGAGGGGTAAGAGTTGGGAAAGTGATGGAGGATGTGCGACGGTGTTGGGGAGGAAAGGAATTAACTGAATGCGAGACTATGCTCAGGTTATTGTTAGTCGTCGGAGAGGCAGCAAAACTTAAGGTTGGAAGGTTGGTGGAGATGAGAAGGAAACCGGAAACCATGCAAGGGGTATCGGTATACCCCTTGTATGATTGGGGTAAGATTTGGTATGATTTCCGGAAGCTTAGATTAATGCCGAGGGTGAGGGAGTTAGTTTATAGATTTGTAATGGAAATTTTAGCTTCAAAGTCTGCCTTGTGTGTAATGGGTTTGGTGAGGGAAGCGACATGCGAAAAGTGTGAGGAACCGGAAACAGCTTTTCATGCAGTTTATTTCTGTAAAGAGTTGGGGGAGGTACGGTTGTGGTTGGCAAGAGTTTTCAG